GAACATGGCTCACTAAGCATTAAGCTTACTGAACAGCAAGACAAATTAAAAAATGAATAAAAGGTATTTTCAATCTCTTGAAACAGAAAAGCAAAAATGACAAACATACTCCATAATACTATGAGCATAATCACAAGAAAGGAAAGTCCATCATCTAAAATTTTAACACTTAAAAGACTGCTTTCTATGTTTAATTATTAAAACTACTATATGCTTAAACATTAGGTTGCTGCATAAACTTTAAACCTCACAAATTGAACACATTTTGATCAATCACCTGTACACTCTGCACACGGCCTGTGTGTCGTGACAAGGATTCCAGGAAGCATCAAACACGACTACTCTATTGGCTCCAACCAAGTTAATTCCTAGAGAACCAGCTCTTGTTGAAACAAGAAACAGATGAATGTTGGGATTTGAATTGTACTCGTTGATTAGTTTTTCTCGTTCGAGTGCTGATGTACTTCCATCTAGACCTGTAGCAATCAAAAATAATAACATCAATTAATTGCAATACTTATCTAGGAACATACTGTTAATAAATTCATGGTCCAAAATTAATCAAAGTAAAAATCTGGCATATTCATGTTACCCAGAATTTGCCAGGGACAAGGTAAAGGAATATGAAGTCTAAAAATCACAGATGAAGAATTTCTCTCCACCTTTCTAGGAGTATTGCCAACACTAGGTTGCAATCCAGTACAGAATTGGATGACTTCAATGTTACTGTGGATTCTATAAAACTTGTAACAAATATTACTTTCCTTCACTAACTAGTAACATCAGTCCAGTGGTTAGAGGAGAGAGCTTAACAATACCACATTTATTACTTAATTTCGAAAATGTTAACATTGTGGGTGTTCACAAATTTTGAAAATGCAGATAATTAAATTTTTAAATGTTCAAAATTTGTAAATTTATTTCGTGGGAAAAGTCAGAAGCAATATCTCTAAATGCACATTGCAAAGAACACGAGGATATGATGCGTATCCCAGTTTGGAACATGCCTTCTGAGCTTGTTGTGTTTTACTCTGAGGAACAGGCAGAGACACGGCATGTCCATAAACACTCCACGGCACACAAAACGGGGGGGGGGAGATTGAGAGACAGAGGCGGGGAGAGAGAGTTTTTTTTATGAAACATGCAAAATTCCATTGTTCCTTAACTTACGATAATAATTCCAGTTCCGAGCCCACTTTTCCTGTCTTCCAGGCAAGTTGGTTCTTTGAAGAAAATCTTCTATGAGATTCAAAGTAAAAAGAGACTGGCTGAACACTAATATACGATCTCCAAGTGCCATTGACTCCTCCAAAATACAAAATAATACTTCCATTTTGGCTGAGTTTTCAATAGATCCAGGAATATAATTCTTCAGTAATTCTGTGGCCTGAAACAAAACATAAATTTACAATTGGAATAATTTAATAAATCAGAATATTGCTTACATGTATTTTAAACTGCCTTATAGTATTTAGCATGCAGAGCTAGTTAGGTAGTTGAAACATATTTGATGCATCTACCTCTTGTTTAAAATGTACAACAGATGTGGCCATCTCAATAATTTTGCCTGTCTGTGTGAGTAGTATTAGATGTTGCTCTAAGTTCTGTCCCTATGTCAATGAGCAGTCCTTCCACATTTTCTTTTCACAATGCATCATCTAAGCGCGTATACGTGCAAGATCAAACAAATAAAGTAAAAGTTCTTGTACAATTTCTAGAAGTTTCTTAAAAAAATAAGCATATAACATTAGCTGATCAGACTTGCAGATGCCAATGTTATATTTATTATATAGCTGGCCACCGTAACAGATTTCGCTTATATTTATTATATAGCTGGCCACCGTTAACAGACTTCGTTTTCTGGTGATTTGCTCCGGATGACTGTACGTCAACCTCATTTGGTCATTGTAAGCAGAGCACAAAAGTCCAACTCCCTCACACTGCTTTTAGACGTACGGCAATTTGTGTCATGCAGTTTTTCACATTTCTTAGTACAGGTGCAAAAGCTTGCTTCAGCAATAATTCAATTCTGTGAGACATAAGAGTTCCTACTGCATTTGTACCATTTTGATACACATGATATTGCGAAGCCAGAAATAACACTAACGATATTTATTTATATGACTCTTGTTACGTTATGTCAGCGTCTGTCAATAACAGTAAAAGGCATGTTAACATGTTTGGCGTAAGCCTGCGCACTGCTCTAAATTTGAAACACACTAACTTCTGGCCTCAGAAGTTCCAAAATTCTGAAACTGTATTGTGGGGTTTCCCATTCATTATTTTTATTTGTAGTGTTCTGTCTGACGACAGGTCCATATATTATGAACAGAATCCTTCCATCCTTTTCTCGGACTGGGACCTGTTCATATACATTCTTGGCAGAGATGATCAGAAGTGGTTTGCCATTGCCTTCTTCTGTGTGTGAGTGGAGTAATTGTTGGGATGACACGGAGAAACCGGGGAAGCCCCCGGAGGAAAACTCCGTGATGCCTAGACCACGGCCTTGTCCAACACAAGTTATAAATTTGAGCACCACCGGGAATTGAACCCGGGACCCCAGGCTTACAAGGCTAGTGTTCTGACCCCTAGACCACCGTGGAAGGTTCCCATTCATATAAACCATGAATGACATAACAAGACCTCCTAAAACACATTGGTTCATTAAATGTGATGGATCCTTCTGGCATGCATTGTCAACATTTGCAAAAACTGGCCAAATTCTGAGTGGTATCATAATCTGCTTAAGCTTCTCATGTCTGTTCTTGTCATTCAGATGTGACATACTCAAAATATCCACGAATCTCTCCTGAGGCATTTGAATTAACCATCTGTATTAGAAACGCAAAAATATTCTTTGGTCATGTGTAGCTGGTTGCTTTAAAGCACGCACTGATTTGCTCGAGAAGGCCTTCTTTCTTCTTTTTATACATCTCTTGTGCATACCTAGTGATTGCTTCTTGAACAATTATGAACATTTCATTGGCAAAAAATTTCTGAAATACATTATAGGTGAGCTATCTTTATTAATTGAAAAACTGGCATTCTATCTAAGTATGAGAGTAAATGAAGGCCTTTGTATTTCAAAAATTATTTTCCTTCCAAACCAAGTGTGAATCATTAGTTTGTTCTCATGGTGGTGAAGATGCTAGTGTTGGTCGTCTGTGCCATAACATCACACACACACTTGTTGGAAGGCACTAACAGTTCTTAGCAGCTCAGACCATCTTCATATCCCCTTCTCATCCCTTCACTTTCGTAGCCCTGTCTTATCTACACACAAAATGTCAAGACCCTATGTGGTATTATATTAATGACATCAAACATGGTCTTCTCCATCGTGATGTCAAGGCTATATTGCATCACAACACACAAGACAATGCCATCCTCAGTGCCACGATAATATAAAATCGCAGACGGCAATTATGTCCCCATCTCGGAAGCTTGCGTGCCCGCCTTGCTGACAGAGGTGAAATTATGAAGCACTCAGACAGCAAATGATGGATGTATCATAAATCAGTGTTTAAAATACAGACATCTGTAATGAACTCAGACAAATGGATGGATAGACAGACTTAGCTAATATGGTTTTTGTATAATCCACGGCGCTAAAAATGATGGATATCAGAAATTGCAACTAACTACAATAAGGCACAAATTTCAGCACTGTACTGGTGTCAAATAAAATGTAATCACAATATTTATATTACTTACCCAATCGTATGGGATGCCAGGATCCTCCCTGTTACCAACATTCCTTGCTGCGCCCGGCCCTAACTCTACCAGCTGCTTCGTCTCATTCAGGTTGAGATCCTTCGGACAATCAAAACTTTGTGTCCCGCAGCTGGCATCCTTACTCTCCACCGCCAGAGACTCACACCTCCTCCCATCCACACTGTCGTTAGGTTTCCTATCCTTGCTCTCGTTACTGAGCTCATACTCCTTAATATCTTTGGTTTCATTGTCTCGAAAGTGCGGGGACAAACACCTCTCACTTTTAAATGAACCTGACTCCATTTTGAATGCATTATGCTGAGTTGTCATATCAGACATTCCAGATATATCAGATTTTATGTTTAAGGAACCAAAACTTTTTGTTGGAATATCAGTCTGAGTTTCATTTGAGCAGTTACTACTAAGTTTATCTTCTGATTTCAAACTAGGTGGCAAAGGATTTCCACACATAATATTACCACTCTGTTGTATGCTGCAAGGTGAAACTGTGTCATTCTTTCCATCTTGCTCATTATTTGATCCTGAAATGACTGGTTTCATAACAGAATTACCGTTTGAACAATAACCTTCTCTAGGGAGTTGCCGGTTCTCACACGTTATCTGATTAGATCCGTCCAAAGAACTGGAATTATGATTCTGCTTGTGGCATTTGTTTTCTTCACCAAAGTTTAATTTATCCTTGTTAGCATTCAATGAGTTTCCATCTGTAGACATATTCTGAGATTCCTCTTTGACGTTACCTTCACATTTTACTTTATTTTCCTCAGGCTGTTGCGATGTCGATGAAAATCTACCACCTGCCAAGCCATCATTCCACCTATTTGAGTATGGGATGCCACCTGATGAAGGTCCATACAAGGGCAGATCAGCGTTCCCATGACTACCTGGACCACTACCATCAACAGGCATCATGGTGTCTAGAGAACTGGGATTCCCTGCCTCAGTTTTACACGCAGACACATTCCCCATATTTTCACCAAGGTATTGCATGTGTCCATACAGATTATTCGATCCACTTCCACATGAATTATTCCCCTGCTGCAGACATGGTCTGTTGCTACTGTTCTGCAAAGCCTGCTGATGGTGATAAGAACTGACATCATTACCAACGCCATAACACGTACTCTGGCTGCAATTACTGGGGTCGATAGCAGACATTCTGCCGTATGATTCCTGCATAGGGTTACTTGCAGTACCACCTATTTCAGAATGACCATGCATGCGATTATGTGCATTCTGCATCGCATTCAGAGTGTTCTGAGAATTATTCCCTGCTGTGTTTTGAAGACTGTTTAATGAATTTTGAGAATTCACTGACGAATCCTGTGTAGTCCCCATTGCATTCTGTGAACCTTCCCTTGTATTTGGAGTTGTCACGGGATTCTTTGACAATCCCATCATATTTTGTTGATTGCTTAGAGAACCCTGTGAAGTGTCCATTGAATTCTGCGTTGTTCCAACTGGATTTGGTGGCATTCCCATCACATTCTGTGGTGCCACTGGATTCTGTGATATTCCCATGGAAGATTGTGAAGATCCCATTGGATTCTGAGATGTTCCTAAAGAATTCTCAGTTGTTGCCATCAGATTCTGTGCTGTTCCCATTTGGTTCTGTGGTGTTAACATTGAATTCTGCGGTGGTCCCATGGCATTCTGTGTGGTTCCTAACATATTCTGTGGCATTCCCATTTGATTCTGTGGACTTCCTACTGAATTCTGTGAAGACCCCATAGGATTCTGTGATGATGGAGTTCCCATCAAATTTTGAGTGTTTCCCAATGAATTCTGTGAATTTACCACTGCATTCTGTGAAGTTCCCATTGGATTATGTATATTCCCCATTGAATTTTGCTGAGCTCCAATCAACTGTTGTGGAGTCCCTACTGAATTCTGTGATGCTCCCATTAAATTGTGAGAACTTTCCATAGTGTTCTGCTGCATTCCCATTGAATTATGTTGATTTAATATAGAGTTCTGGGAAGTTCCCATTGAATTTTGCTGGTTTCCAGTAACAATCTGTGGTGTGCCAACTGAATGTTGTTGCGCTCTCATTGGACTTTGGCTACCAATAGGATTTTGTTGTTGTCCAGCAGTATTCTGCTGATTTCCAATAGGACTCTGTGGAGTGCCCATGGGGTTTTGTGAACCAGTAGAAGTCTGTGGATTCTGCTTACCTAAAAGGTTCCCTCCCACAGAAGTCTGCAATGAATTCATAGTATTTTGTGTACTTCCAACAGTATTCTGGTCTGTCATGGGGTTCTGACTTCCAATGGGAGTATGCTGATTGCCCACGGAACTCTGCATATTGTTCATGCTTGGATTCTGTGAACTTTGTAAGTTTCCCATCGTGCCTGGGTTCTGGTTCTGCATATTACTATTCATATTTGAGCTATTTGAGCTATTTGAGCTATGCTGCATATTCATAATGCCACTGCTTTGATTCTGGTTGTTACCTCCCATACCCCCTAGTCCACTGTTCCTGGAATTTCCAATTGCGTTCTGGCCAATTTCACTTACAAAACCACTAGCGTTCATTCCATGAAACACGTTTCCTTGATCCCGGCTTCCGTAATCCCCGTACTGTCCTTGTTCGTGGGTGTGAGGGTTATGCCCCATGTAATATGAATTCTCCCCTGCATCTCCGCTGCTCGCACTGCCATAAGAACTGCCTCCATTGCCACCATAATACTGATTTGCATTCCCATTTCCACCATGATAATAACCATGATTTCCATGCTGCTGCCAATATGGAGTGCTACTCCCAGATCCAGAGTTCTGATATCCATTTTCTTGAGCAGTTCCTGAACCAGGTGGATAATATGACTCCATGGAGCTATTTTCATAATTGCCTTGCTGGCCATTTACTGATCCACCAGTTGACGGGTAGTAATCTCCAGAGCCTCCATAATGAGCTCCAGGCGTATTATGATTAGAACTACCATACGACGTATTATTGGAATTATATGTGTTATTGGAATAGTTTGGATCATAGCTGGAAGCAGGAGGATTTGTTGGGTAGCCATACGGTGGTGCACTATTAGGGTTATAATGCTGCATGTCTGGATATGAGCCAGTGTTGCTGTAAGATTGGTTCTGCTGGCCCATAATGCCGAAAGACTGATTACTTCCGTGTGAATCCTGCTGCATACGAGCTCCTGCGCCCATGTTGCCCATACTTGGCACCGTACCGCACTGAGGAGAGGTGTTAGTGTTAGCGTTAGTGCTGCTGTTACCACCTGAGTTATTGCCAAGTGCTCCACCTGAAGCAAGGTTTGTAGTCTGAGGTGTTATAGTTGCGGCAGGTTTGTTATTGCCCGAGTTACGAAAAGGTGTTGAGCCCTGAAAAGAAAGGCAAGGTAATATAATTATATACAAATCTGATATTCAAACAGCAACATTTAAAACTGACTTTTTAATCTGGCCAGACTTCCTAGACATGCAGCTGTTTTACCTCTCCTCAACACAAGAAAGTATGACTGAAGACTTTGGTACAAAAAGGAGATAAAACAAAAATGGCAAAACCAAGAAGCTGCTTACAAAACAGTAAGAATAATAACCAAATGGTATGGCATAAGAGCTAAATCTGCATGCTTATTAAGGTAATGAAAATAAATAATCAATCAGTCTCCATGCAATACTGAATACTTAAAAAACAGTTTCTGTCCCTCCTGAGGAAAATATAATAAAATGTCATCATCCCAAAGTCTTCAATTACTTCCGACCCCTCACTATGTAACCGATCTACTTGCATCTACCCTGTATATGGATTCAGCATATTCCCGCAAAACAAACATTGCTAATCACCCACATGGCTACACAGTGTCAAATCCAGCAAATCACAACCTAAACCTTCATGACACAGGTTAAACGTTCCGTACCTTCCGCTCCCTCTTATTCTGCCCAGGGGGGTTCCGTGGACCCCTGCTACCCCTGCCTCTTTTGGCTGGACCACCCCTAGGGGAAGCTGCAACCCCTGGCACAAGCGGAGTATTTGTCGCAGCTGTGGCCTCTTCCAAGTCTAAATCAACATCTTCCCCACATGTTCTCTTCTTCAAAAAGTAATACAGCACATCAGGATGGTTCCAGATCTGAAGCAAAAGTACACATTTCCAATATTTTAATCAAGTATCTGTTTCCAAGCCTGTGGCTTCTGCTCAGATAAGAATACAAATAAACTGCAAGTACAAGGGCAAGGTATGAAAATTTAAAACAGACTATCTTAAAAATACCTTTCTAAATAGCTGACTTCAATTATTACCATCTCATGTAATGAAAATGAAGTTTTCATGGTGATCAGATTACATTATTACCCAACATTTCAACTTTACCATCTTCAGGGGCACATTATGCAAGTAAATTGCTATTCAACCATCATCAGAGATGGCAGTCTGTGCAAAAGACTGGTAAATATTCTGGTATTGGATAAAAAAGTACCTTAAACTCACAACATGACTCACTGTTGCCTTACCTTACAGCACACTGCAAAAGCCTTCAGAGGATTTGGGACAGCTTTGGTTCGTACAACTTCATTCATGAACGTGTCATACAGTTTTCTCTGGAACTGCGTCAGGCGTAACAAGAGAACGTATTCTTCCTTTTGTGGTAGAGATACCTGAAGCACTGAATGACTTCGTCTACGTGGAAGAAAAATGAAATTACCCATGAGTAAGGAAAGATGGTAGAGGTTAGTCATTACACGTATACATACAAATCCAAAGGGTAGTCAGACTGGCTACAGGTTGTGGAAAAAGTCACAAATACAAAAAATTCAGATGAGTACAACTGAAAATATTAAAATGTTACACTAAATCCACTGCAATACAGCAGATTATATAAGTACAATAACCTGTAAAAAGATTATGAGTCCTCTTTCAACTGCAAAAATTCATCAACAAAATAAATGGTGTGTGAATTTATGTATCTTTTTAAAGCGACTTTAAACTTTTCCTTTCCACTCAAGTAGTTCTGAGACTAGATGGAAGGCTGTTGAAGATTTTGATGCCAGCACCTTTCTGAAGACATGAAATGTTGGCACTTGGTCTATGAAGACGGTTCTTATACCATTCACAGTTGAATTTGTTTGAAAAGATTCTAGATTATTTACATGACGTTCATTAATGAAAATATATGTTCACAAGGAAGAGCTTAAATTTCCAGTTTCCTAAACAGACTTCTAACTGAATTTCTTGATTTTGCACCAGCCATAATTATAAATTACCCCCCAAAATTATTTCATAGTTCATTATGGAGAGAAAGTAGGCAAAGTAGATTGATTTCAGTGTGTCATCATTTATAATATAAAACACTGATCTAGTTGTGTAACATGCCCCACTTAACTTTAGAATCGCGTATCAATAAAACTCTTACAATTTAGGTGGTTATAAATTTGTAGACCACGGAATTTGGTACTGTTGACTCTTCTACATATTTTACAATACACCAAATGCTTAATGCACGCTGTGGTGAACTGCGTGTTACAAACTTTATTATTTTTTTTTACCCAAACTTATGACTAACTTGTTTGCAGTGAACCAATTACTCAATTTACCTAATGCTGTATAAAACACAGATATTTAGTGTCAAATTAAATGAGACTACCACCAACGCAGAGCAGGAAATGAGTTGGGAGGAAGGAACAAAGGCATATTTAAATTCACTACCAAGAAGGACTAATTTATATTTTGAGAAGTAAAACTGCTTGTGCATTTGCAAATGACAGGCCGTGTGTCTCAGAGTAAATACCACAAGGAACATTAGTTAACCTCTTCGAAGCTAATGGCTACTCAATTACCACTCACCTCTGTACAAAGCCCTCCAGCAGAGAGTGCAGGACGTGAGCTCTGTATCGCATCAGCCGTATATCCTGGGGTGTGCTGTCTATACACTGTCCATTCTGGATTGGGCGTTCGAACATATTACAGAATTCTGTCTTTGTGCCTAGATAGTTTGGTCGTACAAAGTCCACCATGCACCAGTACTCCAGAAGATTATTTTGGAGTGGATAACCTGACCAGAAATGATACTTTCAATAATTAAAACTTTATTTACAATACAAACAATTTAATTTTGGTGCACAGTTTATTACTGGCAACTGATAATACATGCCCCAATCCAAGCACAGGAGGTCCCTGAGTTACAAACATCTACAAGTCTATTATTACCTACGTCAATATTTCACGTAAACATCAATTCACATATTCATGGCTGAGTGGATTGCATTCTGAAGGATGCTCTGTAGCCCTTCAAAGGGCCCAGAAGTCCCCTTCATGTCTCCATAAGACTCCTTCTCCCCCTAATTAACCCTTCTGAGCATTACAGTTATGTTACATTCAACCAAGATGCCAGAGACAACCTCAACTACAAAACTGTGCTAAGAAAATATTATTTCAGACTACCTCAATCTTAAATTTCAAGATGTTTATATGCCAAAAGAATCTCTGATTACTAATGAAGACATATGTGCCTTTCAAAGTCACATATTTCTCTGCGTGTATATGAAAGGGATGATGCATGAGCATGGGCATGAAAACATTTAAACTACATGACACAAAAAGCTGGTATTTATAAGGAGTTATTTCTTGTTAATTTCAGCTGAAACTACAACTTCCTCTTTAGATGTCATTACTATAGAAAATGCCATATCAGATTTATATAAATACTGTAGTTAAACAGAAGTATTACCTGTTAATACAACACGTCTTTTGCTCCGTATCTGCTTCAGTGCCTGCGAAATAGACGCGTGACTATTCTTGATACGGTGACCTTCATCACAGATAACTAGGTCAGGCCCTGGCTTAACCAGAGCAGTATGCATATCTGTAAAATATTTCAAACAAATTCAAGAAAGTTATCTTTCACGATAAGAAGGTTTTGAATAACGTCAAGACTACTTGCATCAAATGTTATAGTCCATGCGGTGAGAGCAGTACAGACTATAAAATATTAATTATGCAATTCATTTCTGTGCATAATTTGACTAGCAAAGTTCAGACTCTATTAAATTTGCATGAACAAAGGGCATAGCACATACAGAATCATCTTGAGACCGCTGCTGAAGCTACCCACCCAATCATCACTGATTCATGCTGAGAAGCAATAGAATCCCAGAGAGGACACTGGAACAGTTACTGTGATTTTGTTTTGTATATTTAATGGTTTGATTGTTAGTCAAATGTGTTAACTAAACGAAGTAACACTTAACTTAACTGCTTTCTAGACTCCATAGTTTGGTTGTTAATAAATGTGCAACAACTTGCTTTCTTTTATCTTTACAACTGTTCAACTATGGACTGAGGTACGTTTCATTATTTGTATGTAAATCAAACCAAGGAACATTCCCTACAAGTCTAGGAGGAATATCCTGGTACACCATGTATTTAAATTTAATGCATGTTTATGATCTATAACCATACAAAATTGTGCATGCCTAGCTTCAATGATTCATTAGTTACGACTGCCCAACCAGAAGCTGAATGCATATTTTGTGTGACTATGAACAGAAGTTGTGTATTCTTTAGTCTATTATCATGCAAAACTTACGGAGCCCCATTTTAGGAGGTACTACTGTGCTCCCACCTCAGAAGTTTGCAGTCACCACACTGATATTAAATGATAGCATCAAATTATGAAGAAAAACAGCGGGATTGTCACCAGAGATCCAGTAGAACGTCCTTACAGATTTTAATGCTTCTAAAAACATTGGGGGATAAGAATATGATTCCATAAGCCCATTTCTTATAAAGGAATAAGGAAAGTGGCATAATAATACAATAATGTTGTGTGTTCTTACAAGTGAACTTTAATTCATACGCAATGAAACTAACCCTCAAGCAGAACCTTGTTTTTATCATCCTCATCAACATCGACCACTTCGTCCAGTTGTTTTCTTCTCTTCTTCTTACTGTTGGTTTTATTTGGGCGTTTCAAGCTCAGCTGTCTGTAAAGTTCATAGCCAATTAGGAGGACACCGCCTCCTTTCGACCATTCCTGGATTACCTGAAAAGAAAATGCTAAACATGAAGCAAAAGTTGGACTTTGGAAACTGCCAATGTTACACTGTTCTTCAATTAGCAGCAGAAGTCGTGCATAACTCAGTATCTATGTCCTGATAACAGAACAAAATAAACACTTTGTACATGTACACTTATAACATTAAAACTGTCACTGTGCAAAGGTACATTGTTCCACTGTTGAGACCATACGTAGGGCAGTCAAAAAGTTCCCGGAATTGTGGTATAACACTGTAATGGTAGGAGATACGGCAACACTTACCTAATCACCTTTAAAGTAGGACCCTTGCGCACACACACGTGCTCCATCGATCCTGCCATTGTTGGAAGCATCGGCGGAAGGCTTCGTTCGGAATCTTCCGGAGTTTGGCTGTCACATTCGATTTGATGTCCTCCATGGTTGCGAAACGCGTCCCCTTGAGGCCCATTTTCGGAGTAGGGAACAGCCAGAAGTCACTCGGAGCGAGATACGGAGAGTATGGTGGTTGGGTGATGACGGGAATTCTTTTCTTGGCGAGCAATTGCTGCACAACCAGCGATGTGTCGAATGCGACGGCCGAACTCCGGAAGATTCCAAACGAAGCCTTCCGCCGGTGCTTCCAACAATGGCAGGATCGATGGAGCACGTGTGTGTGCGCAAGGGTCCTACTTTGAAGGTGATTAGGTAAGCGTTGCCATATGTCCTACCATTACAGTGCTATACCACAATTCCGGGAACTTTTTGACTGCCCCTCGTATATTATTTAACACAACAATATGAAAATTACTAAAATCAAAACTATCTGACAGCTAACAAACAGTCTTTACGATAAACTCTGTTGTACGTAAAAATACAGCAATCATTTGCATTCAGGTGAACACAAAATATATATAAAATGTTATGTTACAATATCCTTCAATTTCTTTGTGAACTGCAATGTTGTATAAACCGGGATAGCTCAGTCAGTATAGTGACTACCCACGGGCTGGACGACTGGGGTTCGATCCCCAACCGGGGCAGAGGATTTTTCCTCTAGCCTCTGCGTCCAGACCGGCTCTGGGGCCCACCCAGGCTCCTCTACAATGGGTACCGGGGTCCTTTCCCGGGAGTAAAGCCGGCCGGGGGCGTGATGCCGACCACTCACCCCCATCTAGTGCCGAGGTCAAGGAAGAGAGGAGCTATTCCTCCACTCACCCCAAACGCCTACATGGCGTATAGTGGGACAAAGTTTACTTTACTTTACTGCAATGTTGTAAGTAATAATTCATAATACATGCATGGAATATTTACAAGCAAATCCTTCACATAAATAAAAATCAGTCAGTCAGTACATAAGCACATACATATCAATTAGATACAGTGTCTGAAGGCCTGCGTACAGAGACGTGCTTACCTTTGAACGCGCTGTCATGGTCTTATGCGAATCGTTAAGGACAAACAAAGCAAAGTTCCGAGGCCTGATTTCTGGAGTACTGTTAGTGTCCATCGCAGTGTCACTTGATGAGTCAGTGGGCGTGGCCTGCTGCTGTTCTTGGTTGCTGTTTACGTTATCACTACTGCTGTTACTGCTGTTACTGCCAACAGTGTTACTGCTGCTGCTGACACTGTTACCAACTTCAACAGAAGCAGGCAACCACATGTTAAACTCAGCCAGCCAGTTCTGGAGCGTGTTGATTGGCATAATACAAAGGACTGATCTAGCACTGGTGTGGCGTAGGAACACATCACAGAAAGAGACCACCTACACAGCAAAAACATTTTTCATTAAAACTTTTTTCAGTTTTCACAGAAATCACATGAACACGCGTTTGTATCAGACACATCATGTTTCAAAGTTTCAAATTGGCGGAGGTACACAAGGTTTAAATTAGTAAATAAGAAACAGTCAGTGACATAATGCCTGAAGATGTGAGTAAATCTCAACACAGTTTCTACGTTACAGGGTAAGCCATCCTTTAGAGACAACAGGAACCACAATATACCTTTCCCTTTCAATCAGATGACTACAGTTTGATAGCGCTGTTAACAAATTCTAGACATGATAGGCTTGGTATTAACACGTCCCCACCACTCCTTACTGTCTGCAGCCTTCACATGCAGAGGTTAAACCATAATTTAAGTTACCATGTTCTACTTCACCTGTAAAGTCTTGCCAAGTCCCATTGAGTGTGCCAATATGCAACCAAATCCTGTAGATGTGTTGAACCTAGACAGCGACTCCACTACATTGTCAAACAGGAATCGTACACCCCCTATCTGTAAGGAAAAAATACGTTCAGAAACACAACTACACAGGAACAGTATTCATATATGCTTACCAACGTAAGAACTCCGAAACATACGAATAAATGGCAATAATGCTCACTGAAGTACAATATCTGAATGATGTATTTATAATCTGGAATATCATTAAAGACCTTACATACCTGATGAGGTTTGATAACTCTGGCTATCTGTGGCGCAAGGAAAACTTCAGGTTCTTCAGTTGGACGGCCAACATTTACCAACACACGTCCTTGTTCATCAGGAATGTTGTATAGGTCATTTGTATGCATTCCAGAATTTGTAGGATCATCAACAGGCTCTCCTTCATCACCACTAGATGGTTCTGACAGCAGAATGCAGTCATCATCATCACTGCTGCTGCTGATTGTCACTACGTCTGCAAAAAGTTTAGTTTATATTATGCTCCACAAATAAATAGATTTCAATGTTTATGGGAAGCCAAAGTTTGTCGTGACACTCCACGTACTTTACTTCATAATTCTTTTTCTTTTAAAAAATAAATGTATGTGTTAAGAGTAACACAAAATAGTGCAATCACTTAAGACACAAGATACATTATTATAGTTCTAAACAAAAGAAACACTATAATGAGCAGGAAAATTAATTTTATTTTAGCATAAAAAATTAAACTGGTCCTCTTTACATTCAACTACCAATATTAAAGTCATTATTTATACATACAAAATATTCCTTACATCAGTTAGCCGTACATCAAGAAAATAAGCAAAAACAGTATATTAAAACCATTCTCACATCCAAACAGGAAACGCGATTTTATGAATAAATGAGAATGTTACATTTCATAACGCAATTTTATGACTGTTTCAATTAATAGTTTCTGAAATGTAATTTATAAGAGTCTACCAAGATACTGAGCAATAAATCATAACAGAAACTTTGCATATTTTTCCTCACATAATTTCTTTTGACATTCCAGCTGTTTCTGCAACTCTTTATCACCGGCAACTAATATTTCACCCACTCCCAATTCAACCGACCAGCCAACATGTGTTTATTGTGGTCTTCCGGGTTATGTGGCCACGTGGTCTTGTACAAGAGCACGTGGCGTCAAAGCACAGAAGACGAAGATCAACATCTATGCTACCTTCACAACCTCAAATCTCACAAAGCAACTAAGCTCAGCTAATAAATCAATATACATATGTCTTATTAAATACTAATGTAATTCTTTACATCCTAAATAAGAGAACTGACATTATAAACATTTTAAAAATAACAAGGGGTTTTGTTTTGAAACAAAATAATGCCTCTAACTCAGACTTCAAATGACAAACTCTCTACTTGAAACAATGGTCCACTTTGTAAGTCACTGTTGTATGTTTGACATTAGAAAATAAGTAATAAACTTAATTAAAGACTGCGGAGAATTACGGAAACTTACCGAAATCCATGGATACAGCACAAAAGAGAAGAGAGAAATACACACAAGATTGAATACCATTTCACCTCATAACGTGTGTTTTTTTTTTGTATGAATACTACACTATATACTAAGTAAAAAATCACAAGAAACAAATACTGCATTTATTGAAACACCTTACATACTGCCCTTCCAAAATTCATTAACAAAAAATTAGACTTCATGTCAAACACAAATATTATTATTATTATTACTGCTTTTAGTTTTACTAATGCTTTCGCAGTCTCTCCCATCTCTTTTAGACTTGTACTCATGTTAGATGCGTGTATTACATTAATAGCCGAATCCTATCTTTAAGACGGACCACCAGCAAAGAGAATGTGTTTCATTTGAATTGATATGATTTGCAGTGCTGTACTTTTCTTCTACTGACAGATAGTAACGGAAAGACATACTTAATCCATTCATGTATTCTGTACCCATTCAGCCTAAAGTCTATGTATGGACAACCTCAGTGTAAATCCCAGCTTTGTAACAATAATCTGTTTAATCTACTGTAAATCATTGAACCCATCCAAATTGCTAATATTCATATAAAAGCCTTTTCATATTCCATATCAAAACTTTCACCGGGTCTTGAGATGATGGTTACAATTTATTCGTCTCTAAAGAACTTCCTTCTAGCTTCAGTCACTTCTAAAATTGTGTTTTGTCCCTTCGCTCTATCGAAATTAAATCAAAAATATTCTGACCATAGGCCTACAGTAGAAATGTTGAACTATACTGATACTTTTTTTTTAAACTGTATGTTCCCTACTCAGATATTTAGCAGGAAATCACCACTAAACTATATACGCATAACACTCTTTTTTTTTTTTTTGGGGGGGGGGGGTAAACTGGTTCAATGTGTGATATTTGTATTTATGTCAGTTTATTTTAGTTTGTTTGCATCACACTGACGGCAGTTTAACCATGTGTTCTTCGCTCTCTAGTAACACCGAAGAACATCTTACGTGCTCACCCATGTCTGTCTGCTGTCACATTTGTCCTTGGAGGCAGGCAACCTGCACGACTGGGTTCACTTTTTCTCAGAAATGGAAGCACGTTATTATTTTTCATACTGTCGTTCCTACTATCAATGTTGCTACTGTTCCTATTCATATTTCCTGGCCTTACCTCTGCTGGGTTGGACACTCCATTGCCTCTACCATCTCAGGTTTGATCAACGAGGCTTCAAGGAGGAATGGCATTTCCTCTGAGAAGCTAGGTCACCCCCCCCCCCCCCCCCCCCAAGCCTAGTACAAACCAGGTTCTTTTAATTAATTCTGGATAATTATCACAGAGGTCATTCCCCATAATGCATGCTTTGTTGGGGCCTGACCTCCAGTGATTGTTGCTCAGGGGGCTTTGCTCCATGAGCCACCATTCCCCTGGACAACCCTGTGCTTCCATCATCCTGGATGCAACATTAATGCAAGAAATCACCTAAGTTCATTTTTGGAACATATTCTTTCTTACACATTAATGGCCTTGGATCAGGTTAGTTCAACAATAACTATGTGATGTGGCATGAAGAACACCTTTGGAATGTTAGGGTACACCAAAGAGTACAACTTTCCAATCTTCTTGTAATAATGCACAGGTGTAAAAATTTACTCTATTTCCAATATATTAAACAATATTGTACTCTGTTATGCATGGAGCGATAAAGGACAATGATAAATGATGTAGAAGTTAACGGCAACAAATTAGTGCCTAAATTTATTTCATTTATATGTTGTGTAAATTTTGATGTTGCTACACCAATCACTAATATGTATATTTAAACTTCTATTAATCAATTTAATTTCACAGACAATATTATAATCCCACGTACTTCCGTAGTAATATGAACGGGCAACGAAAAAATGTAAAATTCTAATTTTAACCTGTCATCTGCTTCATCAACAAGGTATAGTGGCATCACACATAGTTGGTAACACAATCTTACACAACAGCATCAGAGGGTTGTAGTACTAACACAAAGGAACAATTAAATGTTTACCTACCCTTGCCTTTGCCCTTTCCTGTGACTTTTCGGAGGGCAGCAGCCCTCGCCAGCATTTCTCTTTCGGAATCCTCCTCGCCTTCACTCTCCGACTCTGACGGCAGGGGCACGCGGGGCGAGGACATCACAGGAGCAATGGACACAGAAGGCGTCATCATGTGCACTTGGGGACCGATTCCCCTAGATTTGGCAAGGACAGTACGAGATACCGTAGAATTTCGAGCACCTGTACGCGGAACAGTGCCAGTACTGCCCTTCTGAACTCTGAGTAGTTCAAACACCTGCAACCATGAAGGTACAGCACAACTAAGAAATTACCCCAACACAAGACTGTTCAGTCATATTGCAACAAGACATCTTATTTGCCTAAACAAAAGAAGTTGTTCCCATTTCATGCAGAAACATTACATTATGCATGGCATTCCTTTTTATTCTCACCATACTGAATTTAAGCAAAACTTTCATTTTAAAGAAACAAGTTTCACGGAAAATATTTGAAAATTAGTTACACTGCTTTCATATATGTATAATGCAACAAGTCCAAATATGGCTGTCTTCCAGGTTGTAGTGCCATGCAGTATCTTTGCCGCCTCCATCATTAGGGTGACGTGCACTCATCGCCCTAATGACAGAGGCAGCAAGGACCTCTGAAACATTGGTAAACTTCTACCAGACTACTGAGCACTACAACCCAGAAGCCATCAACCTTTGGACTCACCACCGTGAAAACATCAAAATCCATAATGCAACAAGACTGCCATCTGCACTACAAATAATGAGTTGACATGCAGTGTTAAATCACATTTATAAACTTTCGTTAGATTATAAGTTAAATTTTATACCTTATTTGATAATACTGTTAGTACCTCAAATGTTAGGATGATCAATAAATAACGAATTGGAAAAAATATTGAAAGAAGTCATGGTATATTTTAAGACATTATCCTTGCATTTTCCTAGAATGAGGAAAATCATGAGAAACCGTAGTCAGGAAAGCTTGTGTCCAGGCCAAGAGTCGAACCTGGGATCTCCAAAATATAACGCACTTGACCACAATTTTGAAATGAAGCCTCTTGGCATATACCATATAATTCTGTGATCAGTAGTGACATACTACAGAAAACTTTTAATTCAGTGACTGTAATTGTTAAAACTTCAAATTTTGAAAGATTAACATATACAACATAACGTATATGACACAATCACATACTTTCCTTCAAATAAATTGACTGTAAGGAAATAAAATATTATCCTCTCACCTAACCTACGGCTCCAGAGCAGCTTCTTCAAATCAGTTTTTCCACATAACATTTTGAGTATACAACATGTTTCCACCAAGCATGCTACATGGCTTCCCAATCAGGGATTTCTTTATATAATCATCTTAACAATGCAATACTAGGCAAGGATGGACGTTAGGGAGATAGGAATCAACGGAGAGAACTGGGTGCAGCTAGCGCAGGATAGAGTCCGGTGGCGAGCGTTTGTGAACACAACGATGAGCCACCAGGTTCCATACAAAACGTGGGCTACTCTTTGACAAACCAAGTACATAATCGACTTAGTTACATGAAGCCTTCATACTGCTGTGGAATTCCTAGCGCAACAAAAAACTCTCAGTGACTACAAAACCATTATTCATTCCATTCAGTGATGCATCTCATGTAGATATATATGTTGCCACTACTTTCTGATAAAATTACGTAACAGAAAGGGCTATAAGATGTTACTCCGTACCATGAGACCAAAACAACAAATTTATTGTACTCCAAGTTGCAAGATATTCTTTAAAACTTTGGCAGCTGACTCAGCTAGTTAACCCTGTTTCTCTGAACTCTGAAAGTTTATTATTATGCTCACAAATGTGCAGCACAGAAACCATATCCTAAGCCATTTTAATATCATCTTCCATTGTACATCTAGGTTAAGATGGACTTTACTGTATTTCAATCAATTTACCTACTTGCTGACAAATTCTCACCTACAGGCCACATGCAACCTTCCATGAATCTACAACTCCATCACATAGAGATCCAGGTTTACGTTCATATTCAGACCTACGAGCTTGAATCCCATCAAACAATACAAATTTAAAGACACTGATCAAAGAAACGCGGTGTCTCATGAGCTGCTGCCTCTTGTAAACTCACTTTCCCAGTAGCCTCACTTGTCTCGCTCCAAGTTAACTTATTCACACACCTTCTTGTTAGTTTGTACTCCACTTCCTGAGCCATGTCCCGAACCAGAAGCCAGCTTAACGAGAACTGTATTAGGGAGGCGAACTTGTGTGCCTGAACTGGATCCTGAACTTGACGTACTTGGGATCTGTTTCAAAAGTGAGGAATTGCCTTGGAGGAGGGAGATAACACGAGTCTGAGTCTTGTTGTTCTGTCGATTGAGCGCAATTTGACGCTGTACCTGTTTAAAACAACATAAAAGCACAATAAACACACATTTTGACAAATCATTAGCTCTGGTTAATTAATTTTTTTTACATCATTATTTAGAATGTGTTAACCCTGTGTCAGCAATGTAAGGAGCGTCTTAGGATTAAATAATACCGCTGGTTGCTTCAATTGCCAAAAGTGAATTAGATATCATAGAGCACACAAATATCTGCATGTACTATAGTCTAGAAATCAGTTTTATGAACTATACAACAAAAATATACTTACACTGATGACAATCTTTACTAGGAACAAAGCACACCGTAAAAAACTTTCAACTTCCATAAATCCCCTATTAGAATAGTCACTAGTGTTGATAATACTATGTCAGCTTTCAATTGTGCAGATGGAAATCCTTCAGAAGCAGAAACTTAAGACAAGTGATAATCAAGAATCTAATCACAAACGTTGCACATCAGACAACGAACAATGTAAGAGGCAAGAAACTCCAGTTGCCAGCGGGTGGTGTGATGTGAAATCGCAAATGAAAATGTCGCTCTTGGGTGTCCCCCAGTGACATGGAGTGCATACAAAATATCAGTGAAATACTGTGAGTTTGTACACTTGCGCAAAGAACACATAATAACCCTTATCCATGAATACTACCTTAATAATTCATATTCTGATGCAACAACTGTAAACAATTTCTGGTGTACATGTTTAACAATATCAACCAATGTTCAATGTGAAGGGAAACTTAAGATTCCCAACAAATCTACAAACAAAAATTCAGTGATTTAAGGAAAATCAATAATATAACTGTTATTGCTTTGATCCCATTAAGCGTAACTAAGTAAATAACGGTGAATAACCTCTCGTATGATCCGCTGCTGTTCCTGGACTCTCCTAAGTCGTTCCATCTCCTGCCTCTGGGCAGCCAGAGTTTCTTCATCCAGCTGACTCTCACTCATCACCTCACGAATGTTACGTCTCATGTTGGTTAACTTTCGCTCCATTAAACTAGATTTGTTATCGTCTTTATTGTCTTCGGAATCAGAAGATGAAGCTGATTCATCTTTATCTTTACCATCTTTGCCTGAAAGATAGAACAAAACAAAATTTGTTTAATACTTAGGGTTTCTTTAATACCTTACCCAGTCAATGTGATGAAAGAGGACATTTATGAATGTTAGAAAGGAAACAGTTTCCACTAACATTTGTATGGACTGGTCTTGAAGAGAGGAATTTCTTGCCAGTTACATATTTTAACTAAGACATACTGTTCCTTAGTTAATCACACACAAAAACTAATTTACAAATGCAGCACACAAATCAACCAACCAACTGTTCTTTTAAATGGCTTAAGAGGATTTTTTGCTCTCAGTAATTCTAACTGGTTGGTAGCCCTCCAGCTGCACATCTGCCATCCAAAACACCACTTCTTATTTTGTTTTATGCAACATGAGCAGCGTTCTCCGAGTGTTTCATCTAACAAAAGTAAAATAATTGAAAAAATGCCATAAATGTCAAGCTATGCATACATTTGCTAACTTGTTAAATATCCCCACTGTCTGAAGATACCAGTTACAGATTTTAAGTCTGGCTACTGGATCATGTGGGTGCAAAGACTGCACAACTGTGACTTCAAGGCCGTAGTTTTAATAATTCTGTACCGCTTCTAATAGTCTCCTTTGACACTCCCAGTTCTTATGTGATCATCTCCAACCACCTCTTCTACAAGATGATTATTTATCACCCACTTCTAATTGCCTGGGGTAGACAGAATGGTTTTCATCACCTACCTTTTAATTCCTTTCTTCCAAGATTACATAAAACAAATTTCAAACATTACTGTAATCCATGCATACATTCACACATTTCTTCATGAGGGTTAGTTTCTTGGCTCATAAAATATATAAATTTGTCCACCACCACAAACTTCCATACTTTCAGAGACAATGCGCCTTTCGTTGGATTCCGGTACATCAAAAAGTTGTACGTGATGAAGATCTCCAGTTATGAACTGATAAATCTTCCTGACCTCTGCCCACCCAGGGATGTAAAGAAACCATTTCTGAACTGAAAGCACTGATAACGCAGATTTAGCAGCTCTCAGAGTCTCAGCTTCAGCTGAGGTAAATGCTTTCTACAAACAAAAATTCAGTGATTTAAGGAAAATCAATAATATAACTGTTATTGCTTTGATCCCATTAAGCGTAACTAAGTAAATAACGGTGAATAACCTCTCGTATGATCCGCTGCTGTTCCTGGACTCTCCTAAGTCGTTCCATCTCCTGCCTCTGGGCAGCCAGAGTTTCTTCATCCAGCTGACTCTCACTCATCACCTCACGAATGTTACGTCTCATGTTGGTTAACTTTCGCTCCATTAAACTAGATTTGTTATCGTCTTTATTGTCTTCGGAATCAGAAGATGAAGCTGATTCATCTTTATCTTTACCATCTTTGCCTGAAAGATAGAACAAAACAAAATTTGTTTAATACTTAGGGTTTCTTTAATACCTTACCCAGTCAATGTGATGAAAGAGGACATTTATGAATGTTAGAAAGGAAACAGTTTCCACTAACATTTGTATGGACTGGTCTTGAAGAGAGGAATTTCTTGCCAGTTACATATTTTAACTAAGACATACTGTTCCTTAGTTAATCACACACAAAAACTAATTTACAAATGCAGCACACAAATCAACCAACCAACTGTTCTTTTAAATGGCTTAAGAGGATTTTTTGCTCTCAGTAATTCTAACTGGTTGGTAGCCCTCCAGCTGCACATCTGCCATCCAAAACACCACTTCTTATTTTGTTTTATGCAACATGAGCAGCGTTCTCCGAGTGTTTCATCTAACAAAAGTAAAATAATTGAAAAAATGCCATAAATGTCAAGCTATGCATACATTTGCTAACTTGTTAAATATCCCCACTGTCTGAAGATACCAGTTACAGATTTTAAGTCTGGCTACTGGATCATGTGGGTGCAAAGACTGCACAACTGTGACTTCAAGGCCGTAGTTTTAATAATTCTGTACCGCTTCTAATAGTCTCCTTTGACACTCCCAGTTCTTATGTGATCATCTCCAACCACCTCTTCTACAAGATGATTATTTATCACCCACTTCTAATTGCCTGGGGTAGACAGAATGGTTTTCATCACCTACCTTTTAATTCCTTTCTTCCAAGATTACATAAAACAAATTTCAAACATTACTGTAATCCATGCATACATTCACACATTTCTTCATGAGGGTTAGTTTCTTGGCTCATAAAATATATAAATTTGTCCACCACCACAAACTTCCATACTTTCAGAGACAATGCGCCTTTCGTTGGATTCCGGTACATCAAAAAGTTGTACGTGATGAAGATCTCCAGTTATGAACTGATAAATCTTCCTGACCTCTGCCCACCCAGGGATGTAAAGAAACCATTTCTGAACTGAAAGCACTGATAACGCAGATTTAGCAGCTCTCAGAGTCTCAGCTTCAGCTGAGGTAAATGCTTTGGTCTAAGCACAGAAAAATGTACACCAAGATCTAACAATTGCTCAAACCTGACAGGTTCTGAACGAGAAAGAGGGTCTTATACAAGGACTAACAAGTCCGTAAGACTTGAGGTTCTCACAGCGGTGAGTATGAAGATTTTCGTCTTCTGGGTTGTTGCGCTATGTAGTCTGGTCGATGTTAACCAACGTTTCAGAGGTCTTACTGCCTCCGTCATCAGGGCGATGAGTATGAAGATTTCTGATGACGGAGGCAGTATGACCTCTGAAACATTGGTTAACATCGACCAGACTACACAGTGCAACAACCCAGAAGACGGAAATCTTCACTAACAAGTCCCCTTACACATCCAGAAAGCAAAAGCACCTGTCAGTATACTGCATCAACCAGACATTAGAGATGAAGGGGGGCAGCCACAGTAATCAAGACTAGCTAAAAATCTGTAAACAGTTTGGTATTTTCCAAAAATCTATAACCACTCACAATTTTATGGCCCTACAACAAGTGGCGCTAGTGTCGATCCCACCAAATAAATTTATTAGTCGGCCATGTTGGTATTACCAACTGTAGGAAATTGAAAAGTACAATTTCAGGGAAGTCCCCAATGACATAATGTCCATACCAAACCTTACCCAAATCTGTCCAGCACTTCTGAAGTTGAACCACGCAGATAGGGAGACAGACACGTTTAGCCCCATACACAATCATTTCATGCAATAAACACATAATAATTGCGGTTCATTCCAAGAATCCTTCAAAACTTTCTGTAACTTGGAATTAGAGATTTGTAAATAAACACTTCACCACTGACATATTTACACTTTACCTTTTAATTGTTCTCCTTCCAAAATAAAAAGAGCCATAACTCAAAGACAAAGACTCCAAGGACCCATGTTACACAGACTTTTCTTACTGCCTTTTGCAGAGAAAATGCTGTTATAGCGGTGCCACATATTTCAGAAATACCCTGTACATCAACAAATATGACTAATAAGATTATGGGACTTGGGTGTGAACCTTACACATGCACTGAGATAAATTTTAATGAATGAAACCCCACCTGACAGAGTAGTCTTTTTCTTCTTGTGCACTGTACCAGCATCCATCTGAGCTTTCCGTTTGCTAGTTTCCGAGCCCGCATTTCCCCTCTCACTATCTTCCTCCATCTTTCCTTTTCCCTCTTCCGTGTTCTTCTTTCCGTCACTCGCGCTATTCCCTCCCATCGCACTGTCCCCATGTGTTTTGTTCTGTTCTGTCCTCACTGGCTCTAGAGACACAGCACCTGTTTCAATGCTATTCTGCAAAGCAGTCTGACTGTGTGGATCAACTATGGAACTCGCTGTCATTTTACCACCTGAAAACACTTCACTTTGCTCATCACTTTTATGTTGCTGCAAGTCGCTGTTTTCCACTTTAGTCATTGTCTGAGATAGTAACACTTCGTCTTCCTGAATCACAAAAGAAAGAACACAATTATATGCAGTGATTTATGTATTAATATTTACCTGTCTAAATTACATATGTACAGTCAGCACACTCTTCAAATAATAAAAGAATCTGACAGGAAATAATTCTTATTTGAGAAAGGATCCTAAAAGACAGACAAATGATGAATATCAGACACTGTTAACACACAGTAAACTTCTAGAATTTGGATGGCATACTCATTCATAGAGGGCAGCCTTAGTTTAAAACAAGATCAATCTTTTTTGATTTATTTCACTTCTTTTGTTATAAAATGCATTAAATCCTGTCGCTGTTGGGTTTATGTAGTGTGTATAATTTACACAAATCTTTTCATCTATTCTTTACGATGAAAAGCATAAAATTAGAGCGTAAAACAGAAATAATGTCTGCCCAATCTGCACGTTCCATGTCCAAAACTAATGAATGGATTTTTATGAAATTTAGTAATGGATACATTCAATATGCACTGGTCCGATACAACCCCCAATTTTACATGAAAATGAAATAAAAAAACAGCTTATTGTAGAAATAATCAGTGCATACCATAAAAAGCAGATGCCATTAATATCCACATTTTTAAAGAAACACTTTTGAACCTGGTCAATATCAAACAGAATATGAATAAAAGCAATTTCTGACTCTTTGAACTACGATATCTGCAGTGTGAGAGCAGTGCATCAGCAGTGAAGCATGAAGCACACTGAGCAAACACACGTACTCTGCGTTGGAGTACGCCCTGCTACTCTTGTCAGATACAGCTTATAAATCACAGGCCAAGTGACCTACGATGAAATTAAGAGAATAAAAAAATCACAAAATACTTGTTACTATATTCAGAAATTATTATTGATGCACAAACTTGGTAAAACGTTAAACGCTGCTTTGTAGGGGTGTAAAATGTGGTCTCCTACATCAAATCAAAAAGCATAAATTGTAAGTGACATGACTGAAAACAAAATTCTGAAGAGATCATTTGTGCCAGTATGGGATCAAGTGAATCTGAGGACATTACAAAACTGGAAGCTTCAAGATCTGAATGGCTATACAGTATTGTTGGGTCAGTAAAATTTCGCAGACTTATGATGGGCCAGAAAGAGAGCACATATCAAGGAAACAAAACATGCATACTGACTATACTGACTGAGCTATCCTGACTCACATAATGTGGATAAAGTTCTGTTAAATAAAACAGGGACCCAGCAGTAAATTCAGAGACAAACACGTGAGCTTATCTGTGGAACAAATCTGAAGACGTATAGAATAAAAATGGACAAAATGAAAGACACAGATCCCTTAAGCCCCATTTCCAAAAAAAGTAGATAAAGGAAAAGTGCGAGCAACATCCCATCTCCAGAACAACAATCTCCAAACAAACCTCATCCATGTTTTCACTGTGGTGGTCTTCGTTGTCATCGCTTTCCGAGGCACCAGAATCATCAGTACCACTGGTTGCCATCGTATCATCTCCTCTGCCACTGATGCTGGAATCTCGTGATTTCCGACCATCATGTTTCAGTCCGCCAGAGGAGCCCTTGTCTGTGCCAGATAATGGAGGCTTCAGGAAAATCTATGGAAAATATACCCAAGATATATATATATTTATATTACAGCAGCGTTATGTAATACTGAATTACAATACCATAACAATGCTATATTTAAGAGAATCAGACCCAGGCTGTGAGTAAGGACAGCTCCAACATTATAGCAGCTATGTCCAATTCTTGGTAAGGATACAGACATCTCTCTTCATTATTATGTCAAAATCAGTTTTGTGCCCCTTGCAGCAGACTATCCAGTGTGTACTGGAGTTCTTCCCTGAGGGTAAAACTGCCAGAACATGAAGCTAAACAGTCACCCGGCCTCTACTCATGTTTATTTAGAACACAAGATACAAAACATTACATTTATGTTGCAACCCTAACTACAACACATGAACCCTTCATGCATAAAATGACAAAAAATGACCAATATTGAATTCTTGCAGGTGATGTACTGATTGAAATCTGTATGGCTGTAATTTCAAGTGTTCTGCCACCTGATGAGCACTCGTCACAGATAAATGCTCCCTGCGTCCCAGAATTTTGTTACCAGTTGGTGTAATGTTGTCTTACTTGGTACTGCCTCGTCAGGAAAATTTGTTAAAACGTATGATTTTAGTAGGATTTTAAGGTTCTCACAGCAGTGAGAATAAAGATGGGTTTCAGTGTGTTGATGATGAAGGCAGTAACTCTGAAATGCTGGTAAATTTCTACGTAACTACATGACGCTACACCCTGTAAGACAGCCAATGTCACTGCTAAATGCTTCACAAACTGCAGCAAACAATTTTGATGCGGAGTAATGTCTGAAAATAAAGACATGTCCTGATTGTGAATCGCCATGTTTGCATCTGCACAGTTACTGTGCGATTGGCATAAGCAGCAGCAGCTAACCAATCAGCGTGACTTTCACTCAATTGGGAGTCTGTTACGTGGGGGTAAAATTACTTACGATTTCATATTTGTACCACAGTACATGACCGTTGGTGGACTGAATTTCAAGACACCACTTTGACAAATACTAACCTGTAAATCCTCACTGACACTGATGGTGTCACCATCATCCAGATCCCTCTTAGCTAAGCTGACTGATGGAGGTATGGGGTCCTTTGTTTCCTTACTCAGTGCCCCTCCACCACCTCCTGGCCCAGACTTAGGCACAACCCTTTCGATAGTGACGTCTCCAATACGAGTCACAAATTGGTCCATCCTACAGCTGACTTCACCACCGCAGCTGACTGCGGTGTTCAGTCACAAGGGTCAACCCAGGGCAGACATCATGGGCTGTCAACACAACAATATAAAACACTTACACTGTGTTTTCAAATATAATCTGGCTACTTACCCGAAGCAACAATATATCTTAACAAAATTTTTTAATGGAAGTTTATCATATACATACAAGTGCAGATCAGAAGTTTAGCATTCTGAGTCTATTCAGAAAGGAATTCATAAAATCGCAACACTGATGTTCCGACGGTTGCACTCGCTTTCAGAAATAACACGCAAACCCTTTCAATGCTCTCAACATACACACACATCACAAAACACAACTGAAATTAGGAGGCAACATGTGGCCTACTGGCCCCACAATATTTGAAATTTTGGAAATGCAAACATGTGTTTTACATCTGTTAAATCACTGTCCATTGCTAAACATCATCCTTCAAACTTGCATACAATTTGTTTCCTGGGAAAGACAGATCAGGTATTGGTGGTCGCTATAATGAAGATAACCATTCCTCAAGGTATTGCCCTGCAAGATTACTTCTAATTGCAAGGAATATCATACGTATTTACATTTTCTGCTGTAATTACATTCACATTTTGAAAAATATTGTGATATTATTAACATATTTGCCTTAAAGTGTGAACTCATCACATAAATGTTTCCTTTCCCTCAAACAGACAACTGAAGAATTTTTTGTTCCTGCTATATACACACACAAAGAAAGGTTCAACAAACTTTTGCCCCCCCCTCCCCCCAATAATACATAATATTGACTTTTTTAACCTCATTGTATTCCCTTCCCATTTACAGACCTGTCTACCCCTGCAAGGATATGGTTACAAACAATTTGTTTCCCGACTTGCAAGTGGGTCATTTCACTTCATACCCTTCTGTATTATAAAACAATTTATGACAACTAAATAAAAGTCTTTTGATCACTTGAAGTTCTGTGAATTAGGCCAGACCTCTTGCCCATCCTGTCACCTGTATCGCGTGTGTTGTAGTTTGCACTACTTGGGGCTTCAAAGCATTATTCGCACAAAAACTTCACCTCAGGCACAGTGGACAAGCATCGATGGCGCCACAGAAACCGATATCGTCGACTTGCATGCACGTGTGCAGGACACCAAACTACGATCAAAGGTAACTAACCATACAGAAGGCTGCACAGAGGCCGACAATCGGCTATAAAATAAAACAAACTTGTTAAAAAAACGTACCCGTGTTCGATTAAATTTAAGACTGCCTGCCCGCAGAAGGGCCTCGCAGTATACATATGCTTAAAAACGAGTGATATGAAAATTCATTAGCCCACATCAGGAATCACAAGCAAGGCTGTAGAGAGACCTGCCACTGGAGTTAAATAATACCAATAAAGAATATCTATCTCACGTCAGAGAACTCATAAACTAAAATTATAATCCAACGTGAAACCCTAGCCATCAGAAGACTGTCGTGGAGAGCCTTACTGCAGTTATACAAGCCAAAAAATTAGAATCGCTTAACAAAGCCCCCATGTTTGTTGGGTCCCTGCCACCATGGCATGGTGTGTCCCCAGGTTGCGGATAGAGGCACAGCCTCCAGTTATGGACGTTAGGTGCGAATATATTGAATAAGCAGTCGCGGACTGCCGACAAGGGGTGGTCTTCCAGCTTGGAGGTTTGGCGTGAGGCCAACAACCTTTCACCGTACTCGCATGTAACGGTGGGCCATATAACCACGTATGTTTACTTCATGGGATGGGCGCAGATGAGTCTCCTGAAGGCAGATGATGGCTGGGTTCAGATAGCAAATTAAAGCCTGCAGGTCAGGGAGCCACTGACCATCCCATTGAAGAATATTCACGATGGGTGTCCAAAAATAGAGACTGTAGACATAAAAAATGAAAAGTCTATGGCACCTTGACAGGCGTATTTACCTCTTGGAGTGTCTATATGGTCCGTCTGTGAGTCAGATGTATCTAAGGGGGAACCGCATAGCTTTTTACATGGGACCGGCATGGTTTTTGTCAGGGGCCTTATGATGAATATTCCGGGGCTGTCCGTCATCATCAAGTAGGGGTGACTGACATGTTCAGGATCAGGTTTTGGTTATGTTTGCATTGAAGGTGGGTCAGGTAGGTTTTGATTAGCTTGGATTGAGTTAAAGATTGGACTGGGTTAGCTTCGGGTGGGTTGAGTTGGCTAAGGTCAATTTGGGTTGAGTTGTGTTTGGTTTGGTTCAGGTTCACCTCCGCCTGAACTGCGTTAAGTTTTATGTCGGTTCTGGTAATGTTAGGTTAGGTTGTGCTGGCTTGGGTCTCAAGAGTGTGAACTGTGTTGTGTTCGGAGTATATATTAGATCTGATTCCCAGTTTCAGCTTCATTTAAGTTTGTGTTTAGGTTTGGTCAGGTTGGGTTAAGTTAGCTTAGGCTAGGTAAATTTAGGATAGGCCACGCTAGGGAAGGTTAGGCCAGGTTTGATAATGTCAATTATGTTAGGTCAGGTTCCTACAAATATAAGGCCATAACTGCTTTGTTAATGAGACCAGAAAGTATTAGGGAAATTAAATGGGGCAGGTAACATATCTTATGAGCACATTTATTTATTAACATTTCAACATAACAGTGTTTTAATGCATACAAAATTTACAAAACTTGCTGAAAATCGTCTCCATTAGATTGAATGCACAACTCAGTCCCATTACACCAAAAATTATAGGTACACTTAAAAATTCCAAACAAGTTTCATACTGATGTCACAACTGCTTGAATAAGGCATTAAAGCTTGTCCCACATGTTGATCTTTCCGAGTAAACCGTGCCCTTCAGATGGCCTAACAGGCAGAAGTTGGGACGTATGAAATCGGGTGATCGCGAAGGCCACAAAACTGGTTTAAAACATGGGCAAAATGAACAGGAGCTCCAACACGCATAAACAAAGTCCTGTCACTTTTCCAAAGGTACATCTCCCAGTTGTTGACCTAATTTTCCCATTAAAAATGATGCTGTATTTCACTAACAAGGTGATTTCAACCATGTTCCCTGCTGGATTTTATTAGTGGAATACAATCCTTATATTTACAGTATATAATTAAGAATGGCCCTATATAATGCACCAGTCAGTTACAATAACAGGCTCTCTGGGTACTTAGTTGTTCAAATATCCATTTTAATAATCTGATATAGAATCCAAACTGACATGGGGCAGTCAGTACAAATTTCTTCTTTCATTCCACCTTCAGCTTGCATAGACTCTCCAACCACATGCGGCACAATAACGAACATGCATGTTTTTTTTCTTGTTGAACTGAGATCAATTATTATTACACATAAAATCAACACAGCATTTGACATGACCACCTTAGATTGCAATGATATTTTGTAAATCCACAGACTCTTATGAGTAGGTAATAAATATGAAGTTTGTCCTCTTTATGGCAATTAATTTCAAAGTTATCGCATTTTGAAGTTTTCCTTAGATTTTCCCCACATCCTGATTCACTAAAATACTTATAACTGTGGTCATAATTAAGATAGCTTTAAAAAATGTGTAGCCAGATTAAATTTTTTCCCCAAAATATTCTTAGATTCTTCAAGCGCACTTTGGAAAATTTCATACTGACTGCTACGAGAACCTAATATACATCAGAACTTCACAGATCACAGGTTTGATAATTCACGTGACATTTCCTCGGATTATAACACTGCACATATCCCAGGTAACAGCTGATATGAGGTTGCCTGTGAATCTGATTACAGCGTTATTTCATGTCAAATCAACACACTTCAGGGCCAAAATTTTCATAAACATCTCCGATTCTAATAAAATTTTTAGAGACGCTTATTGCTTCCATCACCACGTCAATAATACCGCCTTGGAACGCCAGTAAATTTCTACGAGACTGCACAGTGCAACATCCCTCCCACTCACAATTACATAGAGATCACATACTCATGTCAGTAATTCACCACATACTAGCTAACGACAAATAATGTGGGGGTACGTGATCTGTATCCAAGCCAAAAAATTAGAATCGCTTAACAAAGCCCCCATGTTTGTTGGGTCCCTGCCACCATGGCATGGTGTGTCCCCAGGTTGCGGATAGAGGCACAGCCTCCAGTTATGGACGTTAGGTGCGAATATATTGAATAAGCAGTCGCGGACTGCCGACAAGGGGTGGTCTTCCAGCTTGGAGGTTTGGCGTGAGGCCAACAACCTTTCACCGTACTCGCATGTAACGGTGGGCCATATAACCACGTATGTTTACTTCATGGGATGGGCGCAGATGAGTCTCCTGAAGGCAGATGATGGCTGGGTTCAGATAGCAAATTAAAGCCTGCAGGTCAGGGAGCCACTGACCATCCCATTGAAGAATATTCACGATGGGTGTCCAAAAATAGAGACTGTAGACATAAAAAATGAAAAGTCTATGGCACCTTGACAGGCGTATTTACCTCTTGGAGTGTCTATATGGTCCGTCTGTGAGTCAGATGTATCTAAGGGGGAACCGCATAGCTTTTTACATGGGACCGGCATGGTTTTTGTCAGGGGCCTTATGATGAATATTCCGGGGCTGTCCGTCATCATCAAGTAGGGGTGACTGACATGTTCAGGATCAGGTTTTGGTTATGTTTGCATTGAAGGTGGGTCAGGTAGGTTTTGATTAGCTTGGATTGAGTTAAAGATTGGACTGGGTTAGCTTCGGGTGGGTTGAGTTGGCTAAGGTCAATTTGGGTTGAGTTGTGTTTGGTTTGGTTCAGGTTCACCTCCGCCTGAACTGCGTTAAGTTTTATGTCGGTTCTGGTAATGTTAGGTTAGGTTGTGCTGGCTTGGGTCTCAAGAGTGTGAACTGTGTTGTGTTCGGAGTATATATTAGATCTGATTCCCAGTTTCAGCTTCATTTAAGTTTGTGTTTAGGTTTGGTCAGGTTGGGTTAAGTTAGCTTAGGCTAGGTAAATTTAGGATAGGCCACGCTAGGGAAGGTTAGGCCAGGTTTGATAATGTCAATTATGTTAGGTCAGGTTCCTACAAATATAAGGCCATAACTGCTTTGTTAATGAGACCAGAAAGTA